TAACAGTACCATCGTTATCAGCCAAACATCTAAAAGAACAATTTAACTGCAGTTCAATAAAAAACTCACCCAATTATCAGAAGAATAATTATCAGAATTTTCAGAAGCATCGATGATCAGTTTCCCACTGGGAGACATTCTTACCTTGTCTCTTTACCTCGTTTTTGACCGCCTCCACACCCCCGTTCTTATCAATGAAGTCGCAGATGGCTTTAGACACCTTTGGGTCCTTCAGCTCAGCCTCAGAAATACCGGCCATGTTGAACAGGTTCTTCAGCTCAGGATCCAAAGCATTCATCTGGAAACAATATAGGACATTAGATCTATATACTTAATATGTGTATCTCTGTTTTCATTAAATACACATTTTGTACAGCAAAGCTGCACAAAACAACCCACAGAAGCTTAAACACACAACTGATTTAAATCCCGGGAGAAATTTTATTATCAGTAAAATCTACAAACATATTTGTCTTGTATTTTTTATCTATAATAAAATCTATTATTTCCATAACAACATCTTAATGTCTGTCATGATTAACTGATGGCCATCTTCAACACAACTGGTCCTGTAATGAGACAAGTTTCTGTTAGGTTAAGAGGCATGATTTAAAAAGCTGCAACGGGGTTAGGGAAAATATGTTTACATCTTTGGGTCTATACACCACCACAATATGTGTGAACGGAAACAAACCCAATGTGCTATAACTGCAGACTGTCAGCTTTAATTTGAGGGAATTTTTTCGACTCTGGTGGCTGAAGGTGTGAGAATGCCACCTCGTATTCACAGAAGCCCTCATGGTCCTCTAGGAATATGTTCGTAACAACATAGAAGAAAAAAAATCCATTGATGTAAAAACTTCGTCATTCAGTATACTCAGGTAGTCAGCTGACCTCATTCTTTGGGCAGAACCTTGACCTGACCAGCTGCAGCAACCTCAGGTTGTAAACACAGGAGGTGACTTTTCTTTTGTGTCCTCTTTTAAAAAACAATGCTGCCAATTTTCCACAACACTGATCTGGCATCAGGTCATTTATAAGTTGTCAGACCGTGGTGGTAATGTGGCGCAATCATGTCCTTTATACAAAAGCTTACACAATGGTGGTAAAAAAGGCAGTCTCTGCGCTGATGTGAACTTCTGTTTAGCCTTGACATAACTGTCATTGAATTGCGATCTAAGTTGCGCTCATTAAGGTTTTTTGACAAGCCGCTCCTAAAAGTGTCTGTCCCCCACAGACCTGTTGCAGTCTCTGGTGATCTGAGCTCCAGCTCTAACGAAAAGAAGCTCCTGGAGCTCTGTGTTGCCCATTTATCATCTCAGATGGTTTTGTCAACAAAAACAAAACTTACTGCCAATATAGTTGCTGGCCGAAACTCAGCAGTAACTCATGTAATCATGACACCGCCCTCTGTTGCGCCAAGGTGTAAAATGCATTCACAAGTCCGGCATTGCAGCAATATGTTGTTGGGATGGTGTTGTCATCACCGATGCGACTGCCATGTTGGCAGCTTCCAATTCCTTACTTATTGCTTGTTACTTCTGACAACAGCGGTCAGCCTCGGTCTTGCAGCATTATTTAATCTGTTATTCATTTGATTGGTTATATTACGCAAGTGGTAAATTGTTGCTGTGTTGTGGGGTGCAACAAGTGATCGTGAGGGGAAGAAAGGTGGAAAACGGGCCAACTTTTCACCGTTTTCCTGCTTGGGGGCATAACCATGGATACCAAGTATGCCGGCTTGCTTGGATTGCAGCTGTAATGCAAGCAAACATCACCTTCCAGGTATTTTCATTCTGATAAGTTACAGATGGTGTATATTTTTATACATAAATCCTTTCCTTCAAACACGACATGCACACACAGCTAATGAGGGCATACTGAAACACAACACGACTTCTTCTGCTACACTTCTTCAATAGGATGGCAATTTACTTGTTTTACTAGAAAAACTGCAAATGCATACCTGTTCTCTGGACATTTGCATCCGCTCACGCCACAAATAAGTTGGCCTAAAATGTCCATCATGCAGAACTATTGCAACAACAAGCTGTCTTTGGTGCTCCAGTCTTGGGTCTTTCATATGGATCCAAAACATTTATATTGCTGATTTTGTCCGTATATCGGTCCCTGGCCTACCCATTTAACATATCTCTGTATATTCTGCATCCTATTTAGCATTTTAACATGTTGTTTAATACTTCCTTTCTCCCAAATCTGCTTCTTCTCTGTGATGTACAGTTTGTTTTCACAGTTTGTTAATAATAATAATAATAATAATAATAATAATAATACATTTTATTTCAACAGCGCCTTTCTGAACACTCAAGGACACTTTACAGAGATAAAATACACAACAATAAAAGATAAAACAGCATAAAACAAACCGACAGATTGGAGCAATGAGAGTAACTATTGGAATGCTAGACGGAACAGGTGAGTTTTGAGTCTGGTTTTAAAGAGAGTGAGGGAATCAATGTTACGGAGGTCAGGAGGGAGTGAGTTCCAGAGCTGGGGAGCAGAGCGGCTGAAGGCCCTGCTCCCCAGAGTGACCAGACGGAAAGGTGGGACAGAGAGGTGGATGGAGGAGGAGGACCTGAGGGAACGGGTGGAGGTTGAAGGATGAAGGAGGTCTGAGAGGTACGGTGGGGCTAGGTTATGGATGGCTTTGAATGTATATAGCAGAATTTTGAATTGGATTCTGGAAGTGACTGGGAGCCAGTGGAGCTGCTGAAGAACAGGGGTGATGTGGTGGAAGGAGGGAGTTCTGGTAATGATGCGGGCTGCCGAGTTCTGGATAAGTTGGAGTTTACGGAGGGTTTTGTGAGGAAGACCGAAGAGAAGAGCGTTGCAGTAGTCAATACGGGAAGTGATGAGGCTGTGGACAAGGATGGTGACCGAGTGAGTAGTGAGGGAGGGGCGTCGGCGGTTAATGTTACGTAGATGGAAGTAGGCAGACCAGGTAATATTGTTTATGTGGGACTGGAAGGATAGTGAGGAGATGAGGATGACACCCAGACTCTTGAGCTGAGGGGAGGGGGAAACTAAGGAGTTGTCGACGGGAAGTGTAAAGCTGTGGATTTTGTATAGTAAAGATTTAGTGCCGACAAGTAACATTTCTGTTTTATCACTGTTGAGTTTGAGAAAGTTTGATGTGAACCAGTCTTTGATTTCAGATAAACAATTGGTGAGGGAGGAAGGAGGAAGTGAAGAGGAGGGTTTGGAGGATACATAGAGCTGGGTGTCATCCGCGTAACAATGAAAATGGATGTCAAATTTACGGAAAATATTTCCCAGGGGAAGAAGGTAAGTGATGAAAAGGAGTGAACCGAGAACAGAGCCTTGGGGGACGCCAGTAGTGACAGGGAAGGGACGGGAAGTGAAGGATTTTAGTTGAATAAACTGAGTACGGCCAGAGAGATATGAACGGAACCAATCAAGCGGGGTATGAGAAATGCCAAGGGAAGACAATCTATGGAGGAGGATGGTGTGAGAGATGGTATCGAAGGCTGAACTCAAGTCGAGGAGGATGAGAATGGAGAGCAGTCCAGTATCGGCAGTAGTGAGGAGGTCATTAGTGATTTTTATGAGTGCAGTTTCTGTACTGTGGCCAGGTCAAAAGCCAGACTGGAAGGGCTCATAGAGGCTATTGAGCGTGAGATGAGCATGGAGTTTCATCTTCCTAAATGCAGTTATTATCTTCTGAATAAGCACTTCTTTAAAGAAGAAGAAATAGTTAACACTGAACTTGTTTACCACATCCTATAAAGCAAAGCATAATCACGTGTGACCCCAAGCACTATCACTACCAAGCATGGTGGAACAAATGCCATAAAAATCCTGAATCACCATGCCGCCACAGCGTGTTCATAAGACACACCGTGATGGCAGTATCAAACTGATTTGTTGTCATGGTGTGTTTTGTGAAAAGGCCAAAGACTCGTCTATAATAATTATCTGCTAAATGTATTGTAGGAAGGTCTGGCTGTTACACAGTACTTACATCAAAACCTGTCCTTGGATTCCATCTGACCTGATTGACGTGCCTTCAAGACAGAAAAAGAGAAAGCATGTGAGGAATGAGACTTGAGCAGCAGAAAGACCCAACTAGTTTGTTGGAAATTGGCAGCAACTAAAACCACACTGTAACCGATGCCACTGATATGTCTCTACCTCATTAAAAGTACAGTCTGAAATGTTTTTCTGGAGTTTCTTTTTTTGCCATATAGCTTGAAAAGGTCTTCATATATTGGTGGCAACCAATTAATTAAATATCTTGTCAAAAAATGAATAATTTTAATAGAGCTGCAGCTATTGATTATTTTAGTATTTGAATATTCTATGGAATCCTCCATCGATTAAATGAATATTCTAGGCCATAGAATAAGATTTTAGTCTGCTGCTAAAAATATGAAAATAAAACAACAAAGTTATAAAAGGCTAAACAATATGTATTAAATTGGTGTTGTCTAGTTCCCTCTTTCCCAGCTGATATTTATTGGTAATAAATCTTTTATGGAACTAAATTTGACTTATATTTCATTAAAATATTTGGTTTAATATCGCTCATCTTAGTATAATCATATCTAAATAAATTCACATATGATCAGTAGTACTGAATTATTTCATTAACATGTTCAGGAGTAAGCTACTGGAAATGCCAATAACATTTAATTTCTACTAGTAACAATGTAATGGTGGCATATCTATTTTATTATATATGGGTTGGCAACATAATCTAGTCTAAATTGTATTCAAATATAGAAGATGAAAGCCACTTGATCGTTAGCGTGCTAGTTTAGCATTAGCAACTCTGCTCATAGTTTCACTCTTGATCCCAAACTTTGGAGCATTTCTGCCTTTTACAATGGTTTCTGTCTTTCCTGGTTTCTCTATTTTCCTCCACTGCACTTAGATCGCCACATAGTGTGCCAGTAAAATGGGTTCAGTCTGTGGTGCGCACATTTAACGTGGCTTCGAATCAGTAAAAAAATGAATCAAGGAATTTAATGAATCTAACTATTTCAATCATTCAATGATTTGTTGCGGCCTAACATTGGGGGCAGCAGGTTTTCCAGTAATCAGAAGGTTGCAGGTTCAATCCTAGCTCCGGACAGAGAATTCTGCTGTTGTGTCCTTGGGCAAGACACTTAACCCACATTGCCTGTTAGTGATGATTGGAAGGACCCGTGGCGCCTGTGTTCAGCAGCATCGCCTCTGTCAGTGCACCCCAGGACAGCTGTGGCTACATCATAGCTCATCACCATCAGTGTGTGAATATGTGTGTGAATGGATAAATGATAAACTGTAGTGTAAAGCGCTTTGGAGTCCTCTGACCAGCGCCGGCGCTCTGCACACGCACACCACACACAGCGCGTAGGGCACCACGCCGTGGGGGGTGGGGGGGTGGGGGGGGGGCATCAAACGCAAGCTTATGAAAAAATAATATATATGATAAAGACAGATTTCAATTAGAAGATGTGCAAAGCAAGTTAACAGCATGTTTACAGAGAGAAAACAATACAAAAAGGAAAGGAGATGGACCATGTCGCACCGTACCCTTCCCCCCGCAGTACACCTGCGGAGGATGCAGCGGGCACAGTCCTGGCTCCGAAAAGGCTGCAGGAGTCCGGGACAGTAAAGAGACAAAAGAAAAAATAGCGAGATGATGCTGTTGCTTCGATTGCAGGTAAGACAAGTATTTTAATGGAAATTCTTAATTTTTTATCTATTTCTAATTCTAAACACGTGTGGTCAAGTTCAGAGGGTCGTTTGACCTAGCTTAAATTCGGACTTGTTACTGCTGTTAATTCATCTGTTTTTGGTCAATTTTTGCAGAGTTTGGTAAGCATGCTGCTTTTCAGACTTTTATTTGGTGTTTTTCGCACTCTGCTTCCACACATTTAACATTTTGACTCTATCTGCGTGGTTTGGGCAGATTTCGTTCTCTACTTCTCCAGTCTGTTAAAAGTATAATGCGCCACTCTGTCCTGCAGCCTCCCGTCCACCTACCGGGCGTTCGTTAGTAGCTGAGTGAGAGAGGCTGAGAGGGAGAGAAACTCAGAGAAGCTTTAGAGCTTTTTTACTGCTGGAGAAAAAAACGTAGCAAGTCATCATCTTCCTAAATGCAGTTATTCTCTTCTGAATCAGCACTTCTTTAAAGAAGAAATAGTTAAATGCAACAAAGGGAAATATCCTTTTATTCAGCCTGTTCATGCGACTTGTATCAAAAAATAAGTCTGAACAGTGTTAAAGGTTGTTCTTCTAAAAAGATAGACCTTGAAGAGTTTGAAGATTTTTTTTGTTTTAATAAGTTCATCTTAAAACATCTTTCTCAAGTAAAATAAAGTTTCCTATGTGGCCCATAGGCTATGTAACTGAGATTTAATATGAAAAATTAGACAAACCTATTTTCAAATTAGGTATTTGCTCTATGTTGATATATATTTCATAAACATTTAAGAGCCAAGGGTAACATCAGCTGCTGATGGTATAATTTGAAGAAAAAAGTCCATTATGCTAACCTCCTCCCTTCATATTCAGAATTTTCTAGTTGTGTATAAAATGTGTACATTGTGCCTCTCTAGTTCTTAATAAAGGTGAAATAGTTTTGAATTTAGTCATGTCACATGCCAGTGATTTATGAGCCAATATAAACCTATAAATAATCTATTGCAGTATTTTTACCATGGTTTAAAACTTTTATCTTATTATAGAATGAATATGACAAATTATCTTTATGTGTCTGAATGCAGGCTCAATGAACAAGTACATTCAAGGTGGAGCTCAAGCCAAAAGTTCAGATCAGCCATCCACCAGCAGTTCAAGAGCTCAAGATCAGTTGTCAGCCATCACGTCTGAACCTTCTACAACATCACCCAGCCCTGACCAGGAATTACAAAGTAAAGCACACCTACAGACTGAGCACAGCCCACAGCCAGCACGTCTGAAGGCAGAGTGAGTCCTGGGTCTGAAAAAGAATCTGAAAATTACATTGGAGAAACACATGTGCCACAACCGGTGCTTGTGGTGTGTGGATCCATCAAACTGCTCCTCTGAATGCCTCATCCCACTGCACATACTCCTCCGTGTGCACAAAACATTTGTTCTCGGGTTGGAGCTGCTGAACAGGAAGTGAAGCCAGAACTGGGCTAGCTTGTGTCACAGATGGAATGTCCCGTTTTGTTTGCAAATTTAATTTAAGGAGTTGTTTAATATTTTCTGTTAAGAGTCTAGATTCTGCACTTGTTGGGTAAACATTTATGTGATTGTCTGGGAACGCAGCTCTGTTATGACTTTGTTGGCTGGAAAAACATTTGCGTGAGAGTAGGGCTGGACATTATAGAAAAAAAGCAAATCGATAAAAAATATTCATATTGATCAATACCAATAATAATTGAAAACTATCAAAAACAATGTAGAAAATATAACTTAACTGCAGCCCCAGCCATTTTATGCTGTTCCCTAACTGACTACTTTCAATAAAGAACAAACAAAAACGGAATTAAATTCAGTACTTTATTTAAACTTAGAACTGGACAATAATTCAATAATGATATATTATCTATCTATCTATCTATCTATCTATCTATCTATCTATCTATCTATCTAATAAATAAATTCTAGATAGATAGATAGATAGATAGATAGATAGATAGATAGATAGATAGATAGATAGATAGATAGATAGATAGATAGATAGATAGATAGATAGATAGATAGATAGATGATAGATAGATAGATAGATAGATAGATAGATAGATGATAGATAGATAGATGATAGATAGATAGATAGATAGATAGATAGATAGATAGATAGATAGATAGATAGATAGATAGATAGATAGATAGATAGATAGATAGATGATAGATGATAGATGATAGATAGATAGATAGATAGATAGATAGATAGATAGATAGATAGATAGATAGATAGATAGATAGATAGATAGATAGATAATAGATAGATAATAGATAGATAGATAGATAGATAGATAGATAGATAGATAGATAGATAGATAGATAGATAGATAGATAGATAGATAGATAGATAGATAGATAGATAGATAGACGATCATTACACGATCATTACACAGGGGAAACAGTATCTGATGTTTCACAGGGAACTCCGCTCAAACAGCTAGCGTAAACGATCCCCAACGGTTTATCTGCATTAGCATTATAGCAGAGGACAATGTTTCATCCGTCAAATGGAGCTTATGAAACCTCTCTAGTTTGTCAGATTGTTTATCTCTGTCCCTCAGCCTGTTGGACTCAGACGAGTCGCAATACCGGTTAGCCTATAAGGTTAACGCACAGCTGGACACATTCACAACTCAAGACAACATCTAGATCAATACGGATGCTGATGGCAAAGACGACGTGGAAGGACAGTGAATGTCTTCAGAACCAAAGTTGGTACCGTTTATTTATGTTTATGTATTTAGCAGACACTTTTGTCCAAAGCAACTTACAAGTGATAATCGGCAGGTTGCCCTTGAGGCTAACAACAACAATAACAACAGCAACAACAACAACCAATTTCCAGTCAGTCGTAGTTGGCAGTGAGGCAGCATAATGAATCATAGAGAGGTGGGAACAAGGAGTGGACAGTAGAGAGGGGGACAGGTGCAGGGAGGGTGCTAGTTTAGAAGATGCTCTCTTTACTTTTATTGTGTTTGAGTTTTATCTCTGTGCTGGTAGGTGGGTTAACATAGCAGCTAACTCTGTTAGCCTAATCAGGCCATGCCAGTATAATTCAATAATCTACAGAAAAAGAAACAGAAACAACCAATTATTATTTACCAATATTGTCAGACTTAGCAAAAATATGAGAGTCAATGAAAAGGCCAGATGTCCTTTCACATAAAGAAACAATAAAACTCAACATGTGGAATAAATTTGTTTTTTTAGTCATTAAGATTCCTCAATAAAGTAGGGCAGGGGAAGCATCATGATGTGGGGAGCCTGGAAGAATAAACTATGTCCCTTCATCACCAGAGAGGAAAAAATGAACCCTGTTAAAGGCGACTCACTGGAAGTTATTGGGTGTGCCAATGTCTGCCTTGGTCAGCTTCTTCTTCTTCTTCTTGCACCCTTTGTCTTTTTTAATCCCCCTAGGGAATGAGGAGTGCACCATGCTGTTCATCTGAGAGTTGTTAGGGAGATGGTGGACACCGCTGATCTCTGGGTTTTTGATGTTGGCTGTAGCGATGTGCAACGAAGGTCCTGGGAAACCAAACAGATAGTACTAAGGTCACACTTCAGATAGCAGCATTACCTATTTACAATTACTAAACAAATGGAGGCAGAACATTAAAAATAAATTTGGCTATGAATACAAATCAAAGTTGTGTTCTTTTAATAATTAAAATGAATTTTTAAGATGATTGCCCCCTGAGGGGCGCAGAGGTGACTAAACACGAGTTGATAAGTTGTACAAATTAGTCCAGTGCAGTTATTTAAACACAAGTGTCAATAAAAAAACTCCCCAAACTATCTTTTAGAAGTTAAAATTACCAGTTTCCCACTGGAAGACACTCTTACCTTGTCTCTGTACCTCGTTTTTGGCTGCCTCCACGCCCTCGTTCTTATCAATGAAGTGACAGGTGGCTTTAGACACCTTCGGGTCCTTCAGCTCAGCCCCAGAAATGCCAGCCATGTCGAATTGGTTCTTCAGCTCAGGATCCAAAGCATTCAACTGGAAACAAGGTAGCACATTAGATCTATATATTTAATATGTGTATCTCTTTTTTCATTAAAAAAGCTACATTTTGTACAGCAAACTAATTCTAACATTTTTGGCTCTATACAACACCACAATGGGTTTGAATTGAATCAGGTGAAACAGGTGAACGGTGTAGGAATTACAACAGTTTGCATATGTGCCTCCCACTTGTTAAGGGACTAAAAGTAATGAGACATAAAAATAATCATAAATGAAACCTTCACTTTTTATTACTTGGCTGCAAATCACACTGACCTGCATGTTTTCCATGTCTCTGCTTCAGCACACCTGAATTGCATTGCCTCCTCAGAAGGACATCAAGTGCTGCAGATTCCCGGTAATCACTCATTCATTTAATTCAGGTACGTGGAAGTAGGGACACACTGCTGTTTAAAAGGGCAACATGGAAAACATGCAGGACAGTGTGTCTTGACGACCAGGGTTGGGAAACTGCTCTAGGAATGTTTGTACCACCATGGAAGAAAAAAAATCCATTGATGGAAAAACTTGGTCGTTCAGTATTCAGGTAGTCAGCTGACCTCATTCTTTGCGCAGAAACATGACCTGTCCAGCTGCAGCAACCTCGGATTGTAAACTCGGGTGGTGACTTTCCTTGCGTGACCTCCTTTAGAAAACAATGCTGCCAATTTGCCGTAACACTGATCCGGCATCAGGGAGCCTTGGGTCATTTATAAAGTAGTCATACCGTGGTGGTAATTTGGCAAAATCATGTCTTTTATACAAAAGATTACACAATGGTGGTCTATGCGCTGCTGCGAACTTCTGTTTAGCTTGGACATAGCTTGCATTTTATTGCGATTGAAGCTGCGTTCATCAAGTTTTTTGACAAGCCGCTCCTAAAGGTCTATGGTGATCTGAGCTCCAGTTCTAACACCTGTTTATTATCTCAGACGGTTCTGTTAACGAAAGTGAAACTTACTGTCAATATAGTTCTGGCCGAAGCTCGGAAGTAACTCCTCCTGTGAACATACCACCCTCCGATGTGTCAGGACGTAATAAGCATTCACAAGTCTGGTGTTGCAGAAATATAGGACTTGAGATCATGTCATCATCACCGACGTGGCCACCATGTTGGCAGCAAACAAGTCCTTGCTTATTGCTTGGTACTACAGCATGCTCAGTCTTGGTGTTGTGGCTTCAGTGAATTTATTATTGGTAAATAGTAAATGGCCTGTATTTGTATAGCACCTACTTAGGGCTCTGTAACCCTCCCAAGGTGATTCACACATTCCCATGCTGGTGGGGATGAGCTACGATGTAGCCACATCTGCCCTGGGGTGCACTAATAGAGGCGAGGCTGCTGAGCACTGGCGCCACCGGTCCCTCCGGTCACCACCAGCAGGCAAGGCAGGTTAAATGTCTTGCCCAAGGACACAACAGCAGTATTATCTGTTTGGAACCATGATCGAACCTGCCACCTTCCAGTTACTGGACAACCTGCTGTACCACCTATTATTCATTTGATTGGTTATATTACGCAACCATGGTAAATTGTTGCTGTGTTGTGGAGTGCAACACGTGATTGCCAGGGGGAAAAACGTGGAAAACGGGCTAACCTTTTATCATTTTCCTGCTTGGAGGCATAATCATTGTGACTATGTTTCTGACACTCTGATACGTTACAGATGGTGTATATTTTCTATACATCAGTTCTTTCCTTCAAACACGACATGCACACACACAACACACACATTGGCTACACACATACCGGTAAGCTAATGTGGGCGTACTGAAACAGAACACAACTTATTTTGCTTCAAAGTCCTATGGGATGACAATTTTTATTGTTTCACGAGACAAAACAGCAAAAGAAATGTATACCTCTCCCCTGGACATCCCTGGACATTTACATCACACCACAAACAAGTTGGCCAAAAACATCCGTTATGCAGAAGTATGGCGACAACAAGTTGTCATTGTTGTTCCAGTCTTGGCTCTTTCCTATGGATCCAAACCATTTATATTGCTGATTTTGTCCATATATCCGTCCTTGACTTACCCATTTAACATATCTCTGTATATTCTGCATCTTTTTGAGGATTTTAACATGTTGTTTAATACTTCCTTCATCCCAAATCTGCTTCTTCTCTGTGATTGATACTGTTTGTTTTCACGGTTTGTTTACACTTGTAAAGTCATCAACATGTTTGCCACATCTCATAAAGCAACGCATAAACCTTGTGAGCCCAGGCACCATTACTTTAAGCTTGGCAGAACGAATGCCGTCAAATTCCTGCATCGCCATGCCGCCGCGGCATGTTCATAAGACACACCGTGGCGGCAGTATTACACTGATATGCTGTCATGGTGTGTCTTTTAAAAAGGGCGAAGACTCGTCTATAATAATTATCTGCTAAAAGTGTTGTAGGAAGGTCTGGCTGTCACACGGTGCTTACATCCAAACCTGTCCTTGGATTCCATCCTGCGTGACCGAGGTGCCTTTAAGACAGAAGAAGAGAAAGCATGTGAGGAATGAGACATGAACAGAAGAAAGACTGTAATGACATGTTTCAGACCAAAATCGGTTATATTTATCCATAAACCCTGATGAACCTAATCAGTTATGTAGATTACAGGCTTGTCTTAAAGGCATAAAAAATTGGATGGCTCTAAACTTCTCATCTTTGGACCAGAACTTCAGAAAAGAAAACTGCTTAGTCAATCACCTGCCCTGAACGGCATTACATTAATCTCCGAGAACAAAGTAAAGAACGTTGGTGTTATCTTTAACCAGGACATGCCATTCAAATCCCATGCTAAACAGGTTTGTAGGATTTCCTTTTTCCACCTCCTGAATATTGCTAAGATTAGAAGCATCCTTTCCAGGAGTGATGCTGTAAAACTAGTTCATGCATTTATTACCTCAAGACTGGATTATTGTAATTCATTATTATCAAGAAGTTCCCCAAACGTAATTAAAAGTCTTCAGTTTGTCCAAAATGCTGCAGCTAGAGTTCTGATGAGAATTAAAAAGAGAGATAATATCTCTCCTGTCTTCGCTTCCCTACCTTGGCTGCCTGTTAAATTTAGAATAGATTTAAAGATCCTCCTTCTCACATATAAAGCTCTTAATAATCAAGCTACATCATACATAAGTGACCTGATTGATCCATACGTTCTTAACCGAGCACTTCGCTCTCAAACTGCAAGTGGTGGTACCTAGAATATCTAAAAATAGAATGGGAGGCAGAGACTTTAGATAGGTTAAATTCTGATGTTAGCCAAGACTTGGACAAGTGAGGGAGCAGAGGGAGGTGGAGTGTACAGCCGGTAAAGACGGCTCTCCCTTGCCCTGCCTCCAACATGCCTCCATCTAAAAAGCTAGGTTATCCAGAGTTAGCTCTGTAGTTATGCTGCTATAGGCTTAGACTGCTGGAGGACACACTGACCACTTTTCACACTCTACTTTCTTCTACAATTGGCTCTTAAACTGTATTATTTCCTGTTATTTCAGCTGTTAACTTTATTATTTCTTTAAGTGTTTTTCTCCCCAGAAGAAGCTACATTGGTGTTCTGCTGAGCTGTGGTGGCCTCATGGAGGGGGCCGTCGGCTAGCACACTGCCCGATAACAACATTTTACTTTCCATGCTGTAGTTCTTTTTTAAAACACAAACAGTTTCGTTACCTGTTTTCCCGCCACGTTTCATTTGCGGCTGCAAACTTCCTCAGGCTGACGCTGATGGTGGCGTCACTTCCTTCTCCGTTTATCCGCGGGCAGCAGAGGACGTTGTCGCCCTCTGCTGCCCGCTCTCCCCTCTCCGACGATGCAGTCCCATGCGCGGTCCAACGTGTAAACTCCATCGTCCGTGTTCATGGTCCCACATCCACGTCTCCTTATCTCGATTGCTTCTTTTATCCATCTTTTGTATTTTTGTTGTTCGGTGTTTACGATCCTTGTGTTGTCCCAGTCCATTATATGGTTTTCTCTTGTGCAGTGATCTGTTACGGCTGACTTCTTTATTGTGCTTTCTGCTTCTTCTTTTGCTGCTCTCGTGTGTTTTCGACTTGCCTCTTTCTCGCACTCCTTTCTATGTTCTATTGTTCGTGTGTTGAGTTGGCGTCCGGTTTCTCCTATGTATGTTTTATTGCAGAGTTTGCATGGGATTTCGTAAATGACTCCACAATTAAGTCCAGCTGGTATGATGTCTTTTGGGTGCACTAGTCTGTTTCTAACTGTTGTGTATGGTTTTGTTGGTGTGTTTATGTTGTGTTTTTTCATTGTTGCTCTTATTTTTTCTGTTATGCCTTTGATGTATGGTAGGGTTATCACTGGTTTTGGTTCTTGTCTTTCTGGGTTTCTGGTTCTTTGCTTAGGTTGTTCTTTTCTTTCTGTTGTTGTTTTGTTGTTTTCCTTCATTTATTGCCCATGTCGGGTATCCGCAGGTCTTTAAAGCCTGTTGTATGTGTTTGTTCTCTTGTTTACGGTCTCTTTCTTCTGTTATTATGTTTGCTCGGTGATATAATGCTCTGATTACTGACATTTTGCTGCCCGTGGATAAAAGGAGAAGGAAGTGACGTCACCATCAGCGTCAGCCTGAGGAAGTTTGCAGCCACAAACGAAGCGTAGCGGGAAAACAGGTAACAAAACTGTTTCTGTGTTTTAAAAAAGAACTACAGCATGGAATTAGAAATACGACACAGCTATGATGACAGATTCAAACTATGGATTACAAAAGGATTAACCGACTACAATTCATTTGTCCACAAGGGGGCGTTTCAAACATTTGACAACTTAAAACAAAAACATGGTTTAGCTTCTGATGATTTTTTCAGATATCTACAGATCAGGCACTATTTCAACCAGAAAATCAAGATGCCCACGGCAGGTCAGGGTTTTTTTCAAACATTTTTACTGCTAACAAAATCTGTATCACCCACCAAAATAATTTCTAAATTATATAATAGTATCCTGTCGTGTAAAGACGAGAACACATTTTATATAAAAGAGAAATGGGAAAGAGAAGGATAATTTACAATTACAGAGGAGGACTGGGAGCATATCTGCTGTACACAATGGTGTAGGTCAAGTAATGGCTAGCTGACAACTTCCTCCATCTTAATGACTCCAAAACTGACTTAATCGTTTTCAGTCCTAACAGTACCACGGCGACTCATCAACCTGACCTCAACTATCTCTCACCTAATGTATCCTCTGTAATCTCCAACCTTGGAGTAAAAATGGACCAGGCTCTGAAGATGGATGCCCTGGTCAATAACACAGTTAAATCATGTTTTTACCAACTTAGACGCATCTCGAAACTAAAGCACATCCTGAGTGTCCATCTTCTGAAATTCGTGGTCCACACTTTCATCACCTCAAGGCTGGATTACTCTAACTCCTGCCTATATGGCATCAGTAAAGCAGCTCTTTCTAGACTTCAGCTGGTCCAGAATTCAGCAGCTAGGTTGCTGACTGGAGCTGACAGAAGACAACATATTTCTCCAATTCTGAAATATCTCCACTGGTTGCCCGTGCAGTTCAGGATAAATTTCAAAATTATGCTTCTCACTTACAAATCCTTGAACCATCAAGCTCCTCCATATCTGTGTGAACTTGTCCATTACTACAACCCTCCGCGTGCTCTCAGGTCTGAAGATAAGCTCCTCCTAGCTGTTCCGAATGCACGTTTAAAAAGCCGTGGAGAAAGGGCTTTCTCTGTCTGTGCACCGAAGCTGTGGAACGCATTACCACTGCTAGTGAGGCTAGCACCAACAGCTAGCATTTTAAAATCACGCCTGAAAACTCACTACTTCAACCTAGCTTATATAACATAATTATGAACCTCACTTACATCTGCATTGTTTAAAAATGGACTTCACAATTATCAACTTCCGTACTATTGAGGTTCTTTTTTAAAATGTTTTTCTAATTTTTATTCTCCCTGTGTCTTATTGATTTTTAGCTGTTAGTTTTTGGAAATTTTGTTGTATTTCCTTTTTTATCTTTTATCTGTGTTCGACATGTTTGTATACCGCCTAATTGATTAACTAACATTTTTAGTGTACAGCGCCTTGTTTGGTTGTAATGCCTTGTGAATGCGCTTTATAAATAAAATTGGATTGGATTGGACAATGGATCACTACTTCATCAAACATTTGGCGTGAATTTTGTTGGAAGAACACAATGAGGTTTTTTATAACGCCGGCTCAAAAAAAGCATCAAGGAATAGGTGATGCTTGCTAGAGATGTGGTGACAGTGGAGCGAACCATTTTCATATATTTTGGGAATGTGCGATTGTTAAGGAATATTGGTCTAATATTCATCAACATCTACAAAATATATTTTTGGTTGTTTTCCCACTTTCCTTTGAAAAGGTGTACTTGGGTAAGCCTGCAATTCATGGCCTTAACAATAATGACAAAAGACTACTGTACATTCTATTGGCAGCTAGCAAAAAGGTTATAACCAGAAACTGGCTGAAACCTCTTCGACCAACAATCGATGATTGGATAGACATTGTACAAGGACTTTACTCGATGGAAAAAATCTCTTATTTACTGAAAATGCAGCTAGATGTCTTTTATACAACTTGGTCTAAATGGACAGAATATGTAAAGCCTGTAAGATCAGATTTCACATGAAAAGTAATTTTCCTTTTTATCTATGCTTGAATAGAAACAATGCTCCTCAACATGTTCAGGTTTGTTTTTTCTTTTCCCTTTTTTTGTTCATGTTTTCTTTACCTTAAAAATGGAAAAGCTAATACACTGTAATTTTAATGTGTTTAATGCATAATGCACAATATACTTTTTCGATAAAAAGTAAATAAAAAAAAAAGAAATACGACACAGCAAGAACACACCTAAGATGTTCAAACATTTTACTTTGTTTGACATGGAATGTGCTACTACTAATTTACATGTTAAATTAATTAGCGATTCACTAAGATAAAGACAATAAAGTATATATTTTACTATATCTTACTAAATAGAACATCTACTAAGAAATTGCAATAGCCATAGAAACACTACTGGTATATATGTTGTGTGAACTACTTCCTTCTCCATTTAGCTGTGGGTAGTATAGAGCGGCATTGTCCTCTGCTGCCTGTAGTTAATCGGAGAAGGAAGTAACGCAACCAACATCGGCAGTGGTCTGATGAAGGCTTCAGTGTTAGCCGAAACTTGTCAGCAAAAAAAGGGACCGACAAATCTTATACTAGGCTGTGTTTAAAAAAAGAATTAAAACAACAGCCACAACTATTGTTAAAATTGACTATAAAAGTGATGCAAAAGGGAGAAAAAACAGGAAACTAACCAATTGTGTATTAGCTAGCATACTGTGCATCTGTCGCAAGCCCTTACACAATTTTCTGCAACAATCAGATTCTCTAGGAGGAGTCTGAAGAAAGGGAGTGGACCTTTGAATTGTTTTTCTTTTCAAAAAGTAGCTTTTGCTCAAACAACTTTTACCAACCAAGCAAAAATATGAGTCTGCAGTAAAAGGCCAGAGGTCCTTGCGCATAAAGAAACATTTAAACTTCTAACATGTAGAACAAATTTGTTTTTTTGGTTAGTAAGATTCCACTGTTAAGTAGGGCAGAGGAAGCATCATGATGTGGGAAGCCTGGAAGAACAGACTATGATCCTTCATCACCAGAGGGGGAAAAACAAACCCTGCTAAAGGCGACTCACTGGAAGTTATTGGGTGTACCGATGTCTGCCTTGGTCAGCTTTTTCTTCTTCTTCTTCTTGCTCCCTTTGTCTTTTTTGATCCTCCTAGGGAATGAGGAGTGCATCATGCTGTTAATCTGAGTGTTGTTGGGGGGGCCGGTGGACACTGCTGATCTCTGGGTTTTTGATGTCGACTGTAGCGATGTGCAACAAAGGTCCTGGGAAACCACACAGATAGTACAAAGGTCAAAATTCCGACCATTGCTACTACAAATAGAGGAAGAGCATAAAAAAATCAATCTGGGTATAAATAAAAATCTAAGTTACAGTTTTTAATAAGTAAAATGCATTTTTATGACGATTGCCCCCTGAGGAGTGCAGAGGTGACTAAACACGAGTTGGGAAGTTGTACAACTCGGTCCAGTACAATTATTTTAGTGTCATTTATTCTGAAGCAGGGTCACATTAGCAGAAGTTAAACTGCATACTAATAAATACCATCCAGCCTTACTGGATAAGTATTTGGGCTTTACTAAAGCAGATGCAGGAGTATCATTGTTTTAAACCCAACATCTTCCAGTCCATTTATCAGGGTTTCACCTGAAGTTTTCAGGGGTTTTCTCTTTCTAACAAACATTTCTAGACTCTGTCTTGTTGTGCTGCTCTAACTAAAAGCTCATACCCACTACAGCATCCCAACAGGGACATTTGGGAGTCTGGGTGAAGGTGATACCGACCGGATGTATCGCCCTCTTACATCATCACAAACACTATCTCCTGGTGGACAGGAGCTCGTGTTTACGTCTAAAAACGTTTTACGGGTCAAGCTGCTGGTTTGGCCTTTGGTGTGAATAGAAACTGGAGCGGAGGGCTCGGAGATGGAGGATTAAAGTTCATCCTGAGGGAAAATAAGGCAGTGAAATGTAGACAAACATCCTGGTCCTGCGCCTCCATCTCCAACAGCTCATCTTCCACCCTCAGAAATACGTTCCTCAAAAGAGACAGAAAGAAAAGTTGTGCAGAACATCTTATTTCTAAGGCAAAATGTGTTGATGTGAAAGATTTCAAATGAACATTTCCAGTTGGCTGCTAATGGGAGAATCTAGCAGCCAAGGTCGTTCCCCAAATATTCCAAATCAGGAATAAACAGAATAAAACAATACTACATTGACTGAACTGTAGAAAATGTTCCCTTTGTAAGAAAGCTGGATATCCACCAGCGTTTATTCCCCCTCTCTTAGCCTTAGACGGTGATGCTCAGGTCGGCTTGCTGTGATTGTCTCACCTGCCACCATCATCCTTTGTCCCTGCAGTTCCCATCAAAACACATAAATAGAGCTAAAAAACACAAGATGTAGAAAAGAGGAAAAAACATCCCAGAAGAGAAAAAGGAGAAGGAAAAAAACAGTATGGTTTCCTTAGAGGCTGAACATGGGAAATCTCTATCTCAGGATGACTTTAAAAAGTCATATTTGTTGTTTTATAAGATTAAGTCCTATCTTTTCCACCCGATTCCGATCCTTTGACTTTCATGTGATCAGATCGGAGCATCCCTACTTCTAATTAATGAATAAAGTCTTTTCTATCTGATAAAAAAGTGCTGATATGGAGGTGTTTTTTAAACTCAATTTTCAAATAACCTTAATTTAAATCACACACAATAACGATAGCTAACAAATCTAAAAATTTCAATCCCAGATGATTTCATTAGTGAAGTGATTCTGCAGAAACTCGAAGCAAACCGGCATTTGCCAAATATCATTCTCTCGAGAAAGCAGGCAAGCTGCTTTTCCAGAAACTAGCAGCAACCTGGGAATTTACGGTTACAGGAAATCTGGCAGCCAATGAGCTGCGTGCTTAGAAAGGAGGACTTTAAAAAAATTGAAGATGACTCTGGGATTCTTATACAGGTGCTGGCCAGTAAATTAGAATATCATCAAAAGGTTGAAAATATTTCAGTAATTCCATTCAAAACGTGAAACTTGTACATTATATTCATGCAATGCACACAGACCAATGTATTTCCAATGTTCATTACATTTAAATTTGATAATCATAAGTGACAACTAATGAAAACTCCAAATTTGGTATCTCAAAAAATTAGAATATTCTGAAAAGGCTGAATATAGAAGACACCTGCTGCCACTCTAATCAGCTGATTTACTCAAAACACCTGCAAAGGCCTTTAAAAGGTCCCTCAGTCTTGTTTTGAAGGCACCACAATCATGGGGAAGACTTCTGACTTAACAGCTGTCCAAAAGACAATCATTGACACCTTGCACAAGGAGGGCAAGACACAAAAGGTGATTGCTAAAGATGCTGGCTGTTCGCAGAGCTCTGTGTCCAAGCACATTAACAGACAGGCGAAGGGACGGAAAAAATGTGGTAGAAAAAAGTGTACAAGCTCTAGGGATAACCGCACCCTGCAGAGAATTGTGACGACAAACCCATTCAAAAATGTGGGGGAGATCCACAAAGAGTGGACTGCAGCTGGAGTCAGCGCTTCAAGAACCACCACGAGGAGACTCATGAAAGACATGGGATTCAGGTGTCGCATTCCGTGTGTCAAGCCACTCTTGAACAAGAAACAGCGCAAGAAGCGTCTCGCCTGGGCCAAGGACAAAAAGGACTGGACTGATGCTGAGTGGTCCAAAGTTATGTTTTCTGATGAAAGCAAGTTCTGCATTTCCTTTGGAAATCAAGGACCCAGAGTCTGGAGGAAGAGCGGAGAAGCACAGAATCCACGTTGCATGAGGTCCAGTGTAAAGTTTCCACCGTCAGTGATGGTGTGGGGTGCCATGTCATCTGCCGGTGTTGGCCCACTCTGTTTCCTGAGGTCCAGGGTCAATGCAGCCGTCTACCAGGAAGTTTTAGAGCACTTCATGCTTCCTGCTGCTGACCAACTTTATGGGGATGCAGACTTCACCTTTCAACAGGACTTGGCACCTGCACACAGTGCCAAAACCACCAGCACCTGGTTCAAGGACCATGGTATCCCTGTCCTTGATTGGCCAGCAAACTCGCCTGACCTTAACCCCATAGAAAATCTATGGGGTATTGTGAAGCGGAGGATGCAATACGCTAGACCCAACAATGCAGAGGAGCTGAAGACGACTATCAGAGCAACCTGGGCTCTCATAACACCTGAGCAGTGCCACAGACTGATCGAGTCCATGCCACGCCGCATTACTGCAGTTATTGAGGCAAAAGGAGCCCCGACTAAGTATTGAGTGCTATACATGCACATTCTTTTCATGTTCATTCTTTTCAGTTGGCCAACATTAGAGAAACAAACATTTTTTCATTGGCCTTTAGAATATTCTAATTTTCTGAGATACCAGATTTGATGTTTTCATTGGTTGTCACCTATAAATATCAAAATTAAACGTAATAAACATCGGAAATACATTGGTCTGTGTGCATTGCATGAATATAATGTACAAGTTTCACGTTTTGAATGGAATTACTGAAATATTTTCAACCTTTTGATGATATTCTAATTTACTGGCCAGCACCTGTATTTTCTGCCCATTAAGTGAGTTACATAAGATGAACTCACCCAGTGAGCCACCACGTCGCTTCCTGACAGGCATTCTAATTAGATTTGTTGGAGGCGCACAATGTCAGTCATTTCCAGACTCCCACCTCTTCATCAGTCAACCTCTCACACAAACACACAACTTGGCTTGGGCTGCACAAGAAGACGCACACACATGCAAAGAAAAACAGAAGAGTGGCACTGTGAGGATAAATGATAAATGACCCGCACTTGTATAGTGCCTCTCAGAGTAAGGACTTCAAAGCGCTTTACACTATCATTCATTCATTCACACACACATTCACATACTGATGGTAATGAGCTACGATGTAGCCACAACTGCCCTGGGGCGCACTGACAGAGGCGAGGTTGCCGAGCACAGGCGCCACCGGTCCCTCCAACCACCACCAGCAGGCAAGGTGGGTTAAGTGTCTTGCGCAAGGACACAACAGCAGAATTCTGGAACCTGCAACCTTCCGATTACTGGACAACCAGCTCAACCTGTTGAGCTACTGCTGCCCCTGAGCATCACAGGCTGTAATCGCCCAGCCAGGATGCCAGAGGGACGCTGTCAGAAGATTTTGAAACAGGTTTTTGAGAGAGAGAGAGAGAGAGAGAGAGAGAGAGAGAGAGAGAGAGAGAGAGAGAGAGAGAGAGAGAGAGAGAGAGAGAGAGAGAGAGAGAGAGAGAGAAATCCAGGCTTGTAAGTGATCATGTTGGAAGAACCAGTTTATGGTTGAACCTTTAATGTGTGCTGCGAGGAGGAGCGTGGGGGTGGAGCTATGACAAACAGCAACTGTCAGGTACTGATCATTCTTTCATGGGCCAAGGTGACATTAAACTATGTTAAAATTCACCTTTAACCTTCTGAGGTCCAAATTTGTATTTGGTGTGATTTAAGAAAAAGAAAAATCCTAGCTACTACAGATATGGTAAGTCGACTCATACATGCGAACAAAATATTAATCAGATAAAAATACATTAGAATTAAAATGCAGACAAAATTCCCAAAAGAAAAGAAAGGAAAAAACGTTTAAAGTCAATATCAAGTGTCTCTACATGATACCATGGTCTAAGTTGAAGAGAATAAAATACTATAGCGCAAGAAGCCTATGACCTTGTATGTGGTCACAGGGTCTCAGGAGGTTAAGTCACTTGGGAGGATGCTTTAGATTTACTTAGTTACAGTAGATGATATTCTTGTTTTCCACATCTGCTCATCATCATGCTCCAACACATTTCTGAAATTCGGACAATGAAAGATCACTGGGTTAAAAAACTGTAGGCCAGATTTATTTTTCCTGTTGTTTATTGATGTTATTTCAGTAATAATTTAGTTCAGTTTTAAAGCTCCTATTTCACTGGTTACAATGAAAACAATATTACAATAGAATAACCTGCACAAATGCACGAGAAAAGACATATTCTTTACTTATTTTTTAGTAGTCTGCACAGGGGAAAGATGGGTTTTGGTTTCGATTCTGCAAATGGACACTAGGGGGTGCTAAAACCAAGCCTAAACTTCCTAAACACCTCACCAACCCTGAACACCAACCTGAAACTGCAATTAAAACAAATCTTATCTGTTAAAGAAGTCAGTAACACTGGTGAGGTTGTGTCATACTTCTCCGCGTTACTGACAATAATTTAGAGCATTTTATGGGCCACAGCAAACTTTAAGTGGGGCTAATGGTTTAAAACATTCTGTCAGCTGGTTGGATTCAAAACGCTGCAGAGGAAACTGTACTAAAGCACTTTCAAAACACACAAAAACTCAAGTATATTACGCCAAATGTCATATTTAAATTATTACACTGATAACAATGTAAAATACTCACACATTAACAAAGTGCTGACTGTTTACAAGCAAAAGCTACTGATCTGGAGCCACGGAACATTTTTAAACAATGAGAAACTGTCAATCAATCCGTCAGTTAAGTGATGTTAAGCTAGCGAGAGCTTTTTTCTTTAGCGAGTTATCGTACAACAATATAACAAGAAACAAACTTACCAAGCTTTTCCCCCAAGGAAGTTAAAGAGCTCTCTTGTGGTGACAGACAGGAGCGTTGAACCCACATCACAGCAGCGTCAGCGCCAGCCCATCTTCGAATTTTACGTGCGCAACTACACGTGGTATTACGGTGCTCTCTTTAGAGCGCCTTTCAAAATAAAAGCACACTTCCTGAACTGGTCTGAACACGCCGATTAACGGCTTTAAATGTTTGTGTTTGTGTATTATTCACTTGTAAAAGAAAACTGCGTTTACAAAGACTTTATTAATGAAAAAAAAACTTAAAACCATCAAAAGAAAAATCAACACAATTGTCATCCACTTTAATAAAAACAGTACTGTTCTCCAGAGATGTGACCAAGTCAATGCTTTGCAAGTCACAAGTAAGTCACAAGTGTTTCCAGTCAAGTCTTGAGTCAAGTCCAAAGTCAATGATGTGGAAGTCCAAGTCCTTAACGTTGAAATTTTAAGTCATAATCAAGTCATCTGTCCCAACTTCAATTCAATGACAATTATAAGAAATAAATCCCATAAATAAAGCTTCTTAAAGCTTCATTTATATGTTCAAACAAGCAGAAAGTGCAACTGAACTTGATAATAAACAAAGTGCTGCTGCATTTAGCAGAACAAGATCAAACCCAGAATGAAGAATGATTTATGATTTTTGTCGTGCCACTTTTGTGATAAAATATCAAATATGCTCAAGTCATCATCAAGTCAACAGATGCAAGTCGATTCAAGTCGCAAGTCATTGGCGTTCAAGTTCGAGTCAAGTAATTAGTCTTAATAGATTATATTAAGTCAAGTCAGAAGTCATTAAAATAATGACTCAAGTCCAAGTCATTTGACTCGAGTCCACACCTCTGCTATTCTCTAGGATGTTTTGTTTGGTGTCCACAAGGCTGGAAAAACTCCTGGCAATAAAGCCCTAATAAGACATACTTCAGTTTGTGCATTTTGGTCAATTTATGTTTATTCTAAAAAAGCCTATGTTATTGTTTCCAGTTAAGCTATAAAAGCATCTGAGAAAGATCTGTAAAAATGCTTAACTTTTATTATGGGGTTGCATTCAAACAAAAACTGTGCCTGACTTGTGCACATTTTAATATTGCCCTTCAGGGTTTTTGTAACAGATGACTGAACAGAGAACTATTTGTGAGATCAGTGTGATCATCTGCAAAAATTGTTTATATTCCACACCTTGTAAAGCAACATTTTTATTGCAATATGTTCTTGTTGCTGATGAAAATAGTTTTGATCATTATTTTAACCCTCTGGAGGCAAGCGTTGCAGAATTGCAACAGTTAAAATCTACCTACCTGGTTACTCCACAAACGTATTTCATGAGCATTTTTAAACTCTGAAGTACCCCTGAAGGACTTAGTTGTTTGCCCTTTTATCAAAACTTATTTTGAGCCTGAGAGGGTCAATGCAAGAATTTCTTTGGCCTAAGTCTGATCATTCTGGATCCTGAACTTGAATAAAGCAGACATCCACCTGCCACTTTAAAAGGTTATCAGATTTTTCTACAAGTAGTCATGTTGCTGTTGTTATACAATTGATAATGTTCTATTTTGTTTAGAGTTTAGGGTTAAGGTATGAAAATGGGTGTTGTATTTGTGTCTGTGTGTGTGTACATGTGCACATTGTGTATGTGTTTTTCTTTTTATTTGCATGTGTACATGAACACAAGTAATTATGACTGTATTCACATGTGCAAAGGTGTGTTTCTTTTTCTTTTCCCCGCACCTCCGGTCCACCTGTAAAGCAATCAGAATTGATGTCTGCGTGCCGAAGACAAGCCTTGAAGTTTTACTCTCACAGGTGGAGCATTATAGCTTCAGCTACAATGCCACGCCTAATACCAACACTTTATTAGAAACATTTGAGATTGTTTTAAATCCACGGAGACAGAAATGAAACGGAAAGGGCGGAGAGGAAAGGAAGAGGTGGGGGTGGGGCGTGGGGGGGTTCACAAAAATAAACAATAAAGGATAAACATGAATTCACCTCTAGACCCGCAGGAAAAAAGAAAGACAGGAAACACACAACAAAAATACAACAGAACCAAACGTCACTGCGCATACCGCATGAGGATATAACAGTAACAATTTCTGCTGAAAAGCACACGATAATAATTCATAGTGCATTTAGTGCCAGCCACAGCCTAAGGTGAAGTGTCAAAAACACCCAAGTCCATGTGAGAGCACCATGTGAGCAAAGATGTGTATCTAAACCTAAGTCATTTGGGCCTATTTCTTTTCTTTTTGGGTCAGGGTGTGTCTGTGTGTGTTATGATATTTTGAGATGGGCTCAAATGTCACAAACAGAACCACACACTAACCAGTGGACTTAACTTTATTTTTGATAGAATGTGACTAATCAGCAGCACCTGTGCTGTGATCCTTGTTCCTTCTTGGTAACATCTGCTCCTTTGCGGCGCCTCTCTAACATTGAACCACAACATTCTTCCACCTGGGCCAATTCTGCCTTTTTTGCTCTTGTCAGACTTGAAAAACCCGACTGACGGGAGGAAAAAGACCTGAGGAAACACAGCACCACTCCGCCTAGCCTCAGGTGAGTATCAGCGTGGGTCAACCTGAATCACATGTTGTTCTTTTAGATTATATTCTTATTTTGTGATGAGAGGAGCTAGACTGACAATCAAAATGATTTTAAAAAAACGTTTTTTCTACTGTTTCCTTTTATTCGATCATCCTGAGTTTCAAGATGAATTAGCTGACACGAGATGGTGACATAAGGAAGAATCTGCTTTTTAAAAACACAAATAGCTAATTCTACTTTACTTTGACCAAAGAAGAACTTACATGTCTCCACTTTCTTCTTCCTCATGACAGTTATTTTTCAAACCTTGTGCCAAATACACCTTTTGCCCAAAATCAGGAACGCGCCATCTTTTCCAAATGTTAAATAATAATGTGTACAAGATGACTTTCATAAGATTTTCTACATCTTATGGAGTAAAATCTTCGGAAATTGACTTTAGAGACAAATCTGGTACGGAATACTGTGCTAGTCTCACAACGATACATAAAACACACCTTTGAAAATAAAGAATACATCAGCTGTGAGCAGATCAGACCTTGTTTTCTGTGTTATCTTGGTCAGGATTTTTGTACCGGAGTGCCGTAAGAGGAAACCCCTTTGAAGCATTTGTTTAACCCACTTTTTACAGTAGAACAGATCCAAGACTGTAAGATTGAGGGAAGAGGGCAACATATTCTTTAGTCTGAACTTTGGAGTAGGACACCCCCTACAGGCCTCTCTCCTCATGAATGCTTAAATAAGACGCCTCTTTCATATTTTTTGAGGAATGTTCAGCACACAGGCATTACAACCATTATGTCCGAAGGGGACGTGTCCCCCACTACTTTTTAAAATTATGCATTTCATAATTCTGAAATACATCAGGTGATATAGCCAATACAAATTATAGTACTCAAGGGGTAACATCTAGTGGCAGAGACATTGCATGAAAGGTTGCCAGAGATACAAGAACTCATCATCAGTACCTCTAAGATGTTTAGTTTTTTCCAGCTTCATAAAGTAAAGGGCATTTTTAATCCAGTGGGAGTGTGTAGGTGGATGAGAGTGCTTCCAGCGCATTAAAATAACTCTCCTAGCTAAAAGCGTAAGGAATGACACAAAGTCAGCAGAGTGAGATGGCAAGGAATCACATCCAGGCAGGATCCCAAACAGAGCAGTTAAAGGAGACTGTGGGATTCTTACAGACAGGACCACTGAAAGGGTCAAAAACTGGGTCCCAGAATGTAGACAAGGCCGGACAGGTTAAAAACACATGGGTAAGATTAGCTGAACCTAAGTTACATCTTGCACAGTTAGATTTAGTGCCAGGGAAAACCCGAGCCAGCCTACTCCTAGACCAGTGTACTCTATGTACCATTTTGCACTGGATATTACAATGTCTGGCACAGATAGATGAAAAATGAATACTCTTCAAAATAGACTGCCAATGATCACTGCTAATTTCTACACCAAGCGCTTTGGACCAAGCCACACAAGAATGATCAGATGTTACAGAGCGTTTAGAGAGAAAAAAGTAATACATTTTGGACATTACCCCTTTCTGATGAGGCTTTATTTCCATTAACATATCAATCAAAGTGTTTTCTGGGGCATTAGGAAAGTTTGGAAAGTGTCTGCTAATAAAGTCTCTAGCTTGTAAATATCTAAACAAGTGTGCATTAGACAAATAAAAATTTTCCAATATCTGAGTAAAGAGGGCTACGCAGTGGCGCAGTGGTTAGAGCTGTTGCCTTGCAGCGAGAAGGTCCTGGATTCGCTTCCTGGCCTGGGATCTTTCTGCATGGAGTTTGCATGTTCTCCCTGTGCATGCGTGGGTTCTGTCCGGGTACTCCGGCTTCCTCCACAGTCCAAAAACATGACTGTTAGGTTAATTGGTCTGTCTAAATTGTCCCTAGGTGTGTGAGTGTGTGTATGTGTGTGTGTGTGTGTGTGTGTGTGTGTGTGTGTGTGTGTGCATGATTGTTTGTCCTGTGTGTCTCTGTGTTGCCCTGCAATGGACTGGCTCTCTGTCCAGGGTGTACCCCGCCTGATTGCCCATTGACCGCTAGAGATAGCCCCCCCCCCCCCCCCCCGCCCGCGACTCCACATGGACAAGCGGGTTCAGAAAATGGATGGATGGATGGATCTGAGTAAATGAAACCAGAGATCCACCCTCAAAAATGTCCTTCACAGAAACAAGTCCTCGACTCTTCCAAAATGCAAAAGTTTTATCTATGAGTGATGGGGGAAATAAAGGGTTTAAATAAATTGGTGAATAGAGGGGCATATCTTGAAAGCCAATGTGCTGCTTCACTTGAGACCAAATTTTTAGACAATCTTTACCTACAACATTTTTTGAATATGATTTGGAGTGTGTTTTTAATGGAGGGCACAAAAGAGAAAACAGAGAAGCAGAATCACATGAAGCCTCCTCCATTGCCACCCAACTTGGCTTGTTCCCATCACTATTACACCAAAATAACGTAGTACTAATATTAACAGACCAATAGTAATACTAAAAATTTGGCAAAGCAAGACCTCCCAATT